CAGCCTGGAGAGGAAGCCCTGTGAGGACATAGTGTGACCCTTCAGGTCACAGCAGGGCCCATGAGCCAGCAGTGAGGACGCAGTGCTGTGTCCCAGCAGACAGGACACTCAGGTCTGAGAGATGAAGGGGAGAGGAGCCATCCACCGCCTTCATTCCAAGCACTGTCCTGGGAACATCTCATCTCTTGACTTGAGGCTCTGTGAGTCCAGAGGTCCTGAATGACACGGAGGAAGTCTTCCATTTGGGAATGCTGGGGAAGTCCCCTTCCACATACGGCTGTGACCACTGCCCCGTCATCTGGGGTCGTCATGCCAAAACCAGAAGGCAAAGCAGGAGTCGCCACGGTGGCAAGGAGCACTGACCCTGTCCTCAGGCGGAGTCAGGACTGTCACTTCATGGTGGATGGGGACCAGGTAACCCTCTAGACACCTCCTGGCACGGCCTCAGCTACTTTGAACTGGAAATGGGCAACTACAACAGCCATGACCTGGGAAGGGTACGGGACCCAGGGGTCCAGAAGCCTCAGGGACGGAAGTCAGGGTCAACAGAAGGCAGGGGCACCGCTGAGGGTGGAGAGGCGGGACCAGCACCAGGGCAGAGCCAGAGTCTGTCCCAGCAGCTCTTCTCTGGAAGGTTCCTCAGGAGTCGCAACCACAGAGCCTGCAGCAGCTGCACTGGACGGAGGGAAAGTTGATGCCAGGAGGGCCAAGCGTCACAGTGGGCAGCTGCCGAGGACGCAGCAGCGCACCCCCAGTCCCTGTGTGGGGTCTGCACATGTCCACTCCAGAGCTGCCATTGGGTCGTGCCTGCTGTGTTTGCCCATGTCCAGTCCACGCTCGCTGAGGCAGCTTGGGAGACGTCCAGTGGGTCACGGTGAAGTGACAGTCCCGACTCCTCCTGAGCGGGACCGTGACCCTCACATCACAGGGACTCCTTGCCCCGCCTTCCGGTCTTGGCACAAGGACCCCAAAAGAACTCCCCACCACTCAGTGGCCTCCAGGTAAAGCCCCACCTCTGCTGGGCCCCCAGGGCCAGTGACTGACTGATGCTGAGATATGACGGCTGACCCCCCCGGCCCCACAGGGATGGCTGGGTTGGCGGTGCCAGCCTCCCTGCACAAGCCCCGAGAGACACCCAGTGTCTCCTCCCCTTCTCCTGCCCTGCCAGCTCTCCCTCCAGATGTCTCCAAGGCTCACCCAAATCCCCTCAAGACCTTCAGGGAATCCCGCCTAGGACAGAGTGGAGGCAGGGAAGGGGAGAGGAGGAGGGTTGAACTGGATGGCCAAGAAGTCATCCTGGGAGGGACCTGAGAGCAGAGCCTTGAAGAAAGGCAGGGAGGGAGCCCTCCAGCCGCCGGGGAGAAAGCGCTTAGGCAGAAGCAGCAGCTGGTGCAGGTGCCAGGATCGGCAGGCCCGATGAGCTCCAACAAAAGCGAGGAGGCCATGAGACCACAGTGGAGGGAGGCCAGGAAGGACCGCCAGAGACACGGCCAGAGAGGCTGCCCACGCCCCGGGATCACAGAGGGCCTGATGGCCGTGGAGGGCACCAGCTGGAATTCTGAGCGAGGTGGTTCTGGGCAGGTGTGAGCCAGGTTTGAGGCCTCCGGGTGTCATTTCAAGTGGAGCCCAGGGTTGCAGGGCCTCAGCACCCGTGTGGACACACCTGTCTTTGTCCCTAGAACAGGAAGTGCACACCTGGCCCGGCTTGATACACAACCACGGAGTGCTGAGCACGGACACAGTCAGGGACTCGCCCCTCAGACGGGAAGACACACACTTGCAAGAAGACCAGACTTCCCCGGCCTCCCCTGGGAAAAGCCTCAGCAGCACAACTGACCAGGGGTACTTGCCTCGCCTTGCCGACAGGTTCAGCAGCTGCTGGCTACACTGCAGTCCAGGTAACCTCTAAACCTACGTGAGTGGCTTCATTTCAAGATAGCAAGTGGGAAGAGGAAAGACGCTAGATTAGAGAGTAACATCATGGAGTGGTTAAGAAGCATGGGAACAGACCATCTTTTTTGAAACCCACCTCTACCAAGTACAAGCTGGGTGACCTTGGGCAAGTTACTTAACCTCTCTGTGCCTCAGTTTTCTCATCTGTAGAATTTTAATTATAACAATCCCCTCAGCAAGGAAAAGTGGCTCACGCTTGTAATACCAGCACTTTGGGAGGCTGAGATAGGAGAATTGCTTGAGGCCAGGAGTTCACGTCCAACCTGGCAATATAGCAAGACTCCATCTCTACAAGAAGATTTTAAAATTAGCTAGGCATGGTGGCACACACCTGTAGTTTTAGCTACTCGGGAGGCTGAGGCAGGAGGATCTCTTGAGCCCAGAATTTGAGGCTGGAGTGAGCTATGATCGTACCACTGCACTCCAGCCTGGGTAACAGAGCAAGGCACTGTCTCTATAAAATAATAACAATAATAATAATATAATAATAATAATAGTCTTCTCTTCATGGAGTTGTTAATAGAATTAAATGAATTGACAGTGTCTGAAACATAGTAAGTGCTTTGCCGTTATTATTTTTTTACATGTAAGCAATCAAAGGACACCCACATTAACATATAGGTTGAACGAATCTGCATGTCAATCTCTGGACCTTAAGTTTCAAGTTTGATGCCTTCCATGTCATCTGTATAGACCAATACCATAGACTTCTGAAATATAGCTGCCTCTGAGCTGATGAGTTGCTCACTGCGTCTCATCAGTGACCGTCTTCCAGGAAGGCTGCCATGCCCACTGCACTCAACCCGTGGGCGAGCTCTCAAAGGCCTCCCCGAGCCGGCTACTCCCCAACCACGAGGAGCACTCCGTGATAAAAAGCATCTCAAGAGGTCCATTTAGGTGATGACTTTGGCCTCATGCGTGACTAGATGTCCGTGATTTACCCTCGCTAGGCAGAGAGCAGGGCTTCAACTCCAACCGCACCAGCCTCCGACCAACACAGCGGCTCTTGGCGAGTCTTTCTACTTTTTCTTGTATGTGAAAATCAACGAGGTGAGGGGAAATGCCCATTACCTGCCAGGCTCTGAGCAGGGCCTTTGACATATAATTATAAACGCTGCGGCTCATGCCAGGTGTGTGGCGGAGCTGGTTTCAGAGGCAGTTCTGGAGCTCCACTCAAAACCACTCGAGCTGAGGGTCAGCTTGGATCACTGTTCAAAGTGATGTTTTTTGTTTTTTGTTTTTTGCTTCCTCCACCAACAGTTTCTCTCTACAGATCACTGAAAGAAGGGGTTCGTGTTAGCTTTATGTCCTACAGTTGTGACAACAATGACAACATCTGGTATTCACTAGTGCAGTCTCGAGAAATTGTTCTGGCTATTTTTCCATGGATCCAGGGAGACTGCTCCAAGAGTCCTAGACACGTAACCCCATCTTTGACAGCGATCACACAACTCAGAAATGACTAATTTTGCTGCATCCCTAAGCAGATGGATTCAGTAAACCAAAAGGCCTTCATGCTGACCATCCAAGCAGGCAAAGCCAGTTCTTAGGCTGAGTCTCCTGTCAAGAAAGGCTAACTAAATTCCAAGCAAGCAATTACACTGATGTTTGAAAAGAAAATTACTATGTGGTTTTTTTGGTCAAGTACTTTATAAACGAGGGCAGAGTTTGGTGATTATAACGGTGACTGCGGTCCAAAGTCATGCTTTTTATTCCTGACTTTGCCAGATTCCTTTGTCATCACTGGAGTAGGCCAGTTAAGTCACCTTCCTTCTGTAGCTCGAATCCAATGAGCCCACCACCGTAAGACACTACCTGGGGAGTGCTTAGCAGAAGAAGCAACACTCTTTTAAAAGATGCTGTTGTGATCACTCTCTATATTTGTCTGGTTTATGCTGCTGTTACTGATCTAGGTTTTCATCTCGGCATGAACATTTAGTGCAGGTCTGATGGAAGCCTTTTTGCTTTAATTACTAAATTAATAAGGTGCCAATCTGTTTTTTTAAATTATGAGAACTCATCAAAAGTGATACAACGGAGAATGTAACACCGACAGGCACGCGTGTGTTATAAAACACGAGAAATGGAATGAATCTCAGTTTGCCTAGACATAGTCCTTTAAATGCAAAAGTTTTTAAGTTTAAGAGATAACATAGAAAAGTTAAACTAGATGCCAGATGGCATTTTTACTCACCAAAATTAAAAATAATCAAATACATAAAAAGCTCATTAAGAGTATTTTCACAGTTACTTATATCAGAAAGAGAAAGCAGTCATTTTTCTTCACCATAAGCAACACTTATTAATTCATCTATAAAACTCAAGAAGACATTTCCCATGTCTATAAAAATCCACAAATTTAAATGCCACATCAGTTCATTAATTTATGGCAAACTCTCCTTCCACGAATTTTACTTTTAAAATATTTACTTTTTGGTTTGTACTAAAATCTCATGCAATTCAATGACAGCACTTAACACTTTTCCCACTGCAATTGTGAGATTTGGGACTTTAAAAAATATGAATTTTTAAAGTTATCTCCTCAAACTATTGTGTAACTATCCTTCTTATTGCAAACTATAATCAGGAACCACCTTACACATTTTGTTTAACAAGATAAAAAACTGCAAATATTTAATTTTCATTCATAGTAGAAAAAAGTGAAGAGATCTTTAAAAGTATGTTAGTTCAAAGCATAACTATACTTGTCATTATTCTCGGATCAGCATGAACTATTATCTCCCTAAATATTTTCTAATTCAATGCCAAACACACCATATGCAATATCACCACTTCCAGAAAGTGTGAGTCCTGCTCCATAAACAGAATACATGTCTTGGCATTTTCCTCATCCAACCCCATACTTTGGAAACATCTTTTTCCTCCAGGCATACACTGTTGAGGCTGGAAGGGGCTCCAGCAGCCCTCTAACTGGAAGCCACCCTCCTCATTACAGTGTGGCTTTAAAAACGTGAGGCAAAGCCTCTCACATATTGGCGATGCAAGGCTACTCAGAAATGAATCTGAAATTCGCATCCAAACTTTACCTTTGTAAAATCCCCAGCGAATCTCCCACGGCGGTCTTCACTCCTTCCTTCCCAGGTTTCAGAAATTTTTCTTTGAAGGTATCAAATGCTTTCAATGGCATTTTGGATGCGGGGGGGAGGGGGGCACCTCCGAGCCGTTAACAGGCAGTCTCAGAAACTGTCATCCAGGCTCTCATTTCCAGGGTGGGAACCTGTTTCCCTTGCTGGACACCTGGAAGTCAGTTCTCATGGAGGTCACTACTTAAAATCAAAAGGAGTTGAAGCCCAGCCCAGATCTTCCAAGATGAGACAACCCCCTCCTTTCTGCCCCCACAAGAAGAGGCCAAGGGTGCCTGGCTGGGGATTCAGCCCTTGTGAGAGCTCCCAGCTCTCACAGCCGGTGGCGCTGGCTCACACAGCCACTCTCAGACCGCGCGCTGCCTGGCTCCCTCAGGGAGGGGGCTGCAGCTGGAGGAGCTCTGGGCTCAGCCCTCCAGGAGTCCCCAGGCCAGCAGCAGCCTCTGCGGCGGCGGCTCCAGCCCCTTCTGCCGACCACGTTCCCTCCCATCCCCACCCCTCACCCCAGCTGGGCCCTGGCTCTCACCGAGCCTTTCCAAGGTGATGCTATAGTAACCAGCACAATACCTGCCCTCAGCCCTGGCTGATGAGTGCCTCTCAGCCAGAGCAGGCACCCAGGGAAGTTCATGCAACATTTATGGGTCCTCTGCTTCCCTGAGGTCCTGCAGACAGGCTCTCAGCCACCACTTCAAGCCTTTTATCTCCCTCAAGGGAGCCATGAAATAGTGTTTCAGCCAGCCGTTAGCATGGATGGGGTCCCCGGACAAGCACTTGCACTTGAGAAGCTAAATGCAAAACCCAGACCACAAACATCTAGCAGGGTGTCCTTGTGCTCCTAACTGTAAGAGCAGACTCCCTCACGGTGTGGTCCACCACTGCCTGGATATCTAGTTGAAGATATTGAGCAGAAAGAGGTCTGGATCCTGCTGAGAACTCTCCACGGGCTCCTCCTTGTCCTCAGGACAAACCAAAGTCCTGATCAGGTCACCCGAGGCCCCTCCCTGGACCCCGAGCTTCTGGTCGCCCTCTTTCCGTGTCAGCCTCTCCCAGGACTCAGCAGATGCCCTGTTGCCCCTGGGCTTTCCTTGAGCTGTGCCCTGTCCCCAGGCAATGCTCCTAACCCCTGATCTGGGCAACTTCTCAGGATTCTTAAGTCACACTGAGACACGTCCTACAGAAAGCCACAGAGACGAGCTGAAATGCCCTCGTCCGCACCTCCAAATCACCCATGCTCTGCCCAGCAGAGACTGGCAGGGAGTGGGTATGACCTGATGCTTGTTGGACTGGGGCTGAGATATGGCCTGCTGATCGGCGTCTGTGGGCAGCGGGGTGACGCTCTGTAGATGATGCTGTGGTGAACGCTTCACCCTCGAAGCTCCCATGTTCCAGGCCGCCCTCTGCCAAGGCTCCCAGAGTCATCTCCACAGGACCAGTCAGTGCTCCCCACAAGCCACAGTCCCGGCCCTTCCAAGACTTGAATTAAGTTAGACTAACGCAGAGCTGGGGCCCTGGCAGGTTAGGTGGCTGCTGGTATCTCTTGAGTTCTTGCTATGGTCCCAACTCTGTGGCAAGCACTCTTTTACCGATGACCACAATCTTCCCAGCACCATTGTGTGGTTAGTAGCTTCTTATTTCCCCCACTTTACCAACAGGAGACTGAGGCAGAGAGAAGTTAGCCTGGCTTGAGACCACAGTCAGTAAGCAGGAGGGCCGGGTTTCAGACACAGACGGCCCGGCTTCAGTCGTGCACTTCTATCTTCCTCCCTCCCACACACTTGACTAAGGCATATTTTGCCTTTCGAATAATTCACTCATTTCAAGTGGACAATTCAGATGCTCAGCAAATTTTCCAGGTAGTGCAGCCATCCCCAGGAACCTGTTGCAGAAGATTTCCATCACTCCATCTGCCCACCCAGTCATGACCTGTCCCCACCTTCCAACCTCGCCCTGCAGCTGTGACCTGCCTCCTGGCCCTAGAGCGCCCTTCCTGGACATTCCACACGAACAGAATCGCAGAGGGAGTCCTGTGTCTGGCTCCTCCACTTAGGATAACGACTTCTGGGTTCTGTCCCTGTCGCAGCACGGATCAGCAGTTTGTTTCTTTTTGGCTGGATAATATTTGATGGCATGATGTACCACACCTTGTCTGTCCATTGACTTATAGATGGACATTAAGGTTATTTCAATTTCTGGATGCTATGGAAAAAAACTTAAGAGTATGTGCGCATAAGTCTTTGTGTGAATATATGTTTTCACTTCTCTTGGGTAAATACCTAGGGATGAAATTGCTGAGGCATATGGTAAGTGTGCATTTAATTCTCCAGGAAACAACCAAATTCTTTCCCCAAGTAGCTGCACGTTTCCCCACCTCCGACCCCCAACTCCTATGAGGGCTTCCACTTCTCCACATCCTCGCCAGTGTTTGTTTGCTGCCATTTTTAGTATAACCAGTCTAGTAGGTGTGAAATGGTATCATTGTGGTTTTACTTTGCATTTCCCTGATGACTAATGACACTGAGCATATCTTTCCATGTGCTTGTTAGCCAGTCTTTTTTTTTTTTTTGGTGAAGTTTCTATTCACATATTTTGCCCATTTTAAAAAATAGCTTTTTGTCTGTTTTTTATTGAAGCGTATGAATATGTATTCTGGATACAAGTGCTTTTTAAATCAGATATGTGTTTTGCAAACATTTTCTCCCAGTCTGCTGGGTTTTTTCATTCTCTTTATTTTGCATTTTGGAGTGCAAAAATTTTGTTTGTTTCTTTTTTGAGTTGGGATCTCACACTATTGCTGAGGCTGGAGTACAGTGGCACGATCCAAACTTACCACAGCCTCTACTTCCTGGGCTCAGGTGATCCTCCCGCCTCAGCCTTCTGAGAAGCTGGGACTACAGGTGCATGCCACCACACCCGGCTAATTTAGTTGTTGTTGTTGTTGTTTTTGTTGTTGTGACAAGGTCCCACTATGTTGCCCAGGTGGATCTCTAACTCTTTGGCTCAAGTCATCATCCTGCCTTGGCCTCCCAAAGTGCTGGGATTACAGGCATGAGCCACCATGCCCCCCACACACACACAAAAAAAGGAAAGAAAAAGAAAAAAATTTGCATCTTGATGAGGTCCAATTTATTCATGTTTTCTTTTGTTGCTATGCCTAAGAAATCTTTGCCTAACCTGAAGTATTAAAGATTTTCTTCTTTAGTCTTACATTTAAGTCTATGATTTATTTTTAGTTTGCTTTTATGTATGGTGCAAAATAAATGGCTACATTCATTATGTCTCTCTAATTGTCCAAGTTAGAAACACGATTCTTTCTTCAATGAATAGCCTTAGTACCTATGTCAAAAATCAATTGAATGAAAATATAAAGCTTTATCTCTGGACTATGAAGCCATTAGTTAAGTTCCATTAGTCTTTATGAGGTGGGACCCAAAAAACCCAAAAGTTATTTATACAAAATTGTGTCTGTACTCTTACACGTTTCAACTTCGGCCACCTTCTAAGTACTCTCCGTTTGATGCAATACACCTATCAAGACACTTTTTCTACTGCTCAGTTTTTGAACTTTTCAATTTTGATGCCTCTTAGTTCTTCGGCCTCTTCCACATCGGCAAAATGTTTTCCTTCGAGAGCTTTTTCATCTGGGGAAGCAAAAACACAAAAGAAAGTCAAGGTAAGATCAAGTGAATAGAGGGGGGGATGCTGGTGTCATACCATTTGGATCAAAAACTGCTGAACACTCAGCGTGGTATAGGCAGGTGCACCCGTAAATGACCCTTCATGAAATGGGTAGACATGTTGAAAGAATCTCCAAAAGAAGATTCACTGAAGCCAAATGCAGCCTCTCAACACTAGCTGGTACACGGACGCTGATGGGTTCCTAGAACACTGATGTAGTGGAGGAAGTCTATGCTACAAGGGCCCCGCCCTTCAAAAAATAATTTCGTGGGTTTTTTGGGTCCTCCCTCATATGTTTATTCTTAGGCCAGTACCACACTGTTTTGACTGCAGCTTTATAATAAGGTTTTTTCGAGTTGGAGTCTCACTCTGTTGCCCAGGCTGGAGTGCCGTGGCACGCTCACAGCCACTCCAGCTTCGACTTGCTGGGCTCAGGTGATCCTTCCGCCTCAGCCTTCCAAGTCGCTGGAACTACAGGCATGCACTGCCATGCCCGGCTAACTTTTTGATTTATTGTAGAGATGAGGTCTTGCCAAGTTGCCCAGGCTGTTCTCAAACCTGTGGGCTCAGGTAATCTCCTCCCCTCAGCTTCCCAAAGTGCTGGGATGACAGGCATAAGTCACTGTGCCCGGCCTATAATAAGTTTTGAAACTGGGAAATTAAAGTCCTCCAATTTTGCTCTTTTAAAAAATTGTTTTGGCTATTTTAGATCTTTTGCATTCCCATATAAATTTTAGGAGCAAATTGTCAGTTTCGACAACAACAAAAAATCTGTCCTGCCAGGTGATCCTAAAAGCAGTTTCTGGTCACCAGGCTTCCCACTGTAACCCCTCAGGGCTGAGAATGCCAAGGCCCCAGAAAACCACTGGTCACTCCATTAAGTCTTTGTGTCCAAAAAGCTCATCCACTCATTAAAAGCAAATACAATCACAATAAAATATGCTGAACACACTCTCTTGGTGAAGAAAGCATTCCCTGGTGAAGGTCTAATGCATTCCTCAATCCCAGGACACATTATGTTACTGAGTCTCATAGAGCACACGGTGCGTTACCAAGCAAAGGCCACACCACTGTCTGCCTCTTAGGGCTCAGTGATGACCCAGAGCACTTACCATTCCGGCAGAATGTTGCTCTGGAAACACACCTGGATTGACAAAATTTATTGGTGGTGATTCAGATAGTTGATGATAATAAGAACTAAGATCTATGGTGCATTTTCCAGGTGCCAGACTTGAAGCACTTAACATGCATTAACTCACTGAATCCCCACAATGACTCTAAGGTAGGCACCTTCGTTATACCACCTACAGGTGAGGAAACTGAGGCACCTGGTCAAGTACACAGTTAGGGAACTGAACGGAGATAGATGTGGACCCAGGAAGTCTGGCATCAGAGCT